ATAATATCTTGCATTAATTATAAAAAAAAAAAAAATATTTATTAGAGGATTAAAAAAGAAAATGGTATTAATTATAGGTTCATAGAAAATACTGTATTAATTAAAGATTTCTACCTATAAGCCATTAACACACACTGTCCCAAAAATGGGGTAGTGGCTATTAATGAATTAATACAGATTGTTGAAACATATTATTTATTGATGCCAAGATATGGTTGATTAGTTAGTCTTGCAAGATATTACTACTGTAATGAGCTTGATCCTTACAGGATGCACCTACCCATAGCCTTGTGCTTAGCTTGGTCAATAAATGTCTACTAAATCTAAAATTGTCTTTTATGATTGACTGAAAATAAACAAACTTATTTATGCTGTCACTAATCTAATCATTTCACCTAGTTATTGAAGGAAGAGGAGGGTTGGAAAATTGTAAGATTTCCTATCAAAAAGATATAAATATTTGTTCTTGTTTAAGTTTATAATTTACTAAGCTGACCCCAATAAGTCACAAGGCATGATAGTTATGTAGGAAATTTGCCCACCCAGGTTTTTTTATACTAATAATTCAAATGTCCAAAATTCGAAACTATAATAAAATAAAAATAAAGAAAACATGGGTATGTCTGTTAAATAAATAATTTCTATTTGGTGGCAGTTGACTTGAGAAACGAGTATGACCATCACATGTCCAGCCCTTCACTTAAACTCCCTCCCAACAACACTGCATTCATCGGTTGTGTGAATTACAGTGGCTCAGCCAGCCATTGATCTGCATTTCTTGTCATATATGTGGCATATCAAATCATCTCTGGGTGATGGAAGGAGACTTTGATCATCATCACTTTTAATGTGCCCTTTCATATGCCTTGTCAGGTCCAACCTGGACTTGCACACCCTAACGCAGGTTGGACATTCAAAGCATGCCATTACAAAATCATCATATACAATAGACCTTTGGTGTTGGTGTGATTTCTGGTGACTGAGCACTCCCGCTCTGATCGCATTCGGCACATGGCCAGGTTGGCACCTCATGGCAATTCAGGGATCCCTCCCAAACCTCTCTCTTCAGTTCTTCATATTTTTGTGATACCTCATGGAAGATCTTGATGCCATCAGCAATACTAGCTCTCCAAGAAACCTGGTTTTCAGCTAGAGTCTCCCAGTTATCCAGACTAATATTCTGTATAGTGACTCTTTAAGGCAATTTTTGTAACAAAGTTTGGGTTTGTGCTGTGGTATTTGTATTTACAAGCCTAAATACATACAATTTACAAACATATGTACATGAATTCATAAAGTTAAAAAATATTAAAATAGTCTTTAATTGAGTTAAAGACTTTGGGTAGTTGGTTTGCAAAAAGAGCTGCAGTTTAGAAAATACTTTTAAATAGTTGGTTTCACAGTAAAAAAGCAGTGGTTGAGAAAAGACTTTTATGAGCAAAGATTCACTGACTGTCTTTGTTTTTGTTGTCGGAGATGATTCATTTGAAGTCGCCAACTGGCCGTCAGCAAAAATTTACCAACAGCCCAAGTTGCTGTTGTTGTAGCCAATTTGCTTGAAGTCATGGACACATGTTTCTTTCAGCATGTGCTGGGAATGGCAGTGGAGTTTGAGAAAAAAAAAATAAAAAATAAAGAAGCTAAATTTTCTCTTGTGTCCAAATGACCTGGATACAGCTGCATCTCTGCTTGAAAATCTAAATTTGTGATTTTTATAAGAATTTTTTTCTGAAAGTAGGCTTGTGAAAAATAAGGTTTTAGTTTTCTCTGACTGGTCAAATATTTCATGTGGTGATGCTAATTTCTAACCAATAGATACTTTGATTTAAATAGGGTGTATTGCAGAATTGTTTTGGCATATTTGTAATATTGTCTGTTATTGGGTAGAAAATAAAGTTTGGGCATGTTTTATTATGGTGTATATGTATTGTATATATATATTGTGTTAAAAATAGTGTTTCTTTCCTATCATTAAACAGTGAGGTTTGATTCTCACTCCTTAAAAGAACTAATCTGTGAGATGAGTGTAATCCTTTAATATTTAAAAGCCAACTGTAGAAATGAGAACATGTGTGTGCAGGCCAGGAAGAGAACAATGGGGATTCACCAGAAACTAAAGAGCATCAGTGGGAAGCAGGTTTGTCAACAACATACAAAAGACAACATAATTAGAAAAAATGTTAATTAACATCCTTTGATCAACATTCTTTTGAATACATTAATGGATTGTCCTGAGCATAGTTTTTTTTCTTTAATTTATATTTTATTCCTTCCAGAACATTGTGAGTTAATTTCTGTCTGAATTTCTGGGATGAGGAGTTACCATTATTTACATTATTTATATTTGGACTATTGTCCTCATCTTTGTTGTTGTTATTGCTGTTGTGCACTCCTGCCTTCCTCAGGTGTATTGCAATCTGGCTGAAACATAACAACAACAAAGATGAGGACAATAGTCCAAATATAAATAATGTAAATAATTGTGAGTTAACTTTTAAATTTTGATTTTGATCAGAATCAAAAGTATTTATGCATGCTTTTACATTTTTGAGCAAGAACAAGTCTATCCTGGACTTCTTACACCTGGCAGCAGCAAAATTATATGATCAGTGGCAACATACAGGATTATGATAAAGTGGAAAAAATTCTTCTCCACTTCTTACCAGCAAAAAATTAAACCATATAAATAAATTTGAGGGGGATGTTGAAAAGTTTTCAGCCAAACCAAGAAAGAGATTCTAAAACAAATACTGATGTCTGGTCATTTGCTCAGATTTTGGGAAGTGGGTTAGGTTGAGAATATATATATATATATATATATTATATATATATATATATATATATATATTATTTTTATTATAAGGGATTATTATAAAAACATGTTGAAATTGCTACATAGAAGCTTTCATTTTTCCATACTATGATTGAACTTATTCAGGTGATGCTAAGTAACTGGTGATTAAAGGATTTTTAAGGAAATTTAAAAACAAAGTGTTACCTCTTTTCTGAAAGTTAAAGGGGGTGGGCATAAAGTCAGAATTAAAAATAGACTTGTGGGTATGTCTTGATTAATCAATTAAATGTCAGATATATGCTAAATAGAAAGTAAGCTCAGAGGGTGGAGGTGGGTGAGCTATTTTTTCATGTCATGATAAACTGGAATATAGACAGGTCATCATTGATGGTTGTGGAAAATATGTCAGTGACAAATGTATTGTGATTGTAGACAAATATGATCAATTTTTGAAAGGACGTTGAAGAGAGGGGTAGGTTAATCAGACACAAAGTTAACAGAAATTTAAAAAGAAAACTTTTTTAGATTCAGGAAGCTTCTTAAAGGGGCCTGTAGATAAAATTAAAAATGTGGAACATCTATATAAGATATTAATATTACTAACAGGATGCCAATACATAACAATATTAAAGCTGAATTAACAAAATAAGGTAATTATCCATAGAGGATGGACCATTACATACTAATAAATTATGGCTATAAGAAATGGTAATATGTAATTTTTGAAAATTTAACTTTTTAAGGTAAAAGTTAAACTTCTTTGGTTTCACAGATTTTTTTTGTCAGCAAATTTGATGATTTCTAATTTTTCTTGCAAACATAAGAAGCAAGGTTCATTTAAAGATTTATAAGTTCATGGGAAAAATAAAATAGAACTTGTAAAAAAATTCTAATAAAAAAAAACCCAGATTTACACTTTCCGCAGCAGTCTCTGTCTCCAAGTCATTCAAACACAAGAGAAGATGTGGCAGCATAGCTTTTTCCTTCCCTCAGCATGTGCTGATGAAAGAAAAAGGTGTTGGAGACTTTAGACAAATCTGTTAAATAAATCATTTTTTCTCATATGTATAAATTCAAAAGAGTCAAAAATGAGTGAAATGGTCAGGGAATCTTTTGTGATCAAAGTGTTTTCGCAAAAAAGATTTTTTTGGTTATGGACTAACAACTCAAACGTAGCTTTCTGTGGGCCAAATACTAAAAACAAGTCTTCTGTAAACCACAACTTTTTTGTGGCGCAACTAGCCAAAGACTCAATTAAAAACTATTTTTTTTAACTCATTTTTGATTCTTTTGAATTCATGTACATATGTTTGTAAAAATACAATTTTATTTAGGCAGACGATCATACCCATATTTTCTTTTCTTTTTTTATTTGGAAATCGCACGTATGGGTTTTTAATATAAAAACTTGGACGACCAATTTTCCTACAAGCACCTCATGATGATAAAATTCATCATTACTACAGTTAAATCCATCGTAAGTGTGTGTACGCGTTATTTTACTAAGAACCTTAGTTTTTTAGCGCAAGGAAATAATCTACAATAAAAGCGTTTTCACTTGTATGTGTCTTCGTGTAAAAAAAAAAAAATATTGCAAATTCACGATATTGTAACATTGTTTATTCAAAATACTGACATAACGATCCAGCAATTTTCTTTTTTTTTCAGTTTTATTTAAGTAAGTTTCGTTTTTCTTCACTTTATTTGCGAAAGGTGAGTTCAAATTTCGCAGAATTTCTATTACGATTGTTTCGTACAAACGGACAAACACGAAAATAATTCATCACAAAATATAAGTCCATTTGTGACCTCATTAAAATGATTATATCTCAAGAAATAAATCATAAATACTGACAAAAAGAAAGGAAAATGTTCCCACAGATTAAAAACCAGAAGAAGAAAATGGTTATTTGGGTCTTTTGTTAAAAGACTTGTTACATCAACAATGCAAAATTAATAAAGCTCTCTAATCGCAATTTTAAGGTGAAGGCCGTTCATTAACAAACAGTTTGTGAAATGGATATGTTATAAAGTCAGTAGCGATTACTATATTTTTTTAGGGGGTGGCCACTTTCATCCTGGTCGAAGCTTGGCCATTTCTTAAAGAAAAGAAAAATATATTCTGACCATGTCCAAACAGGACAGTGAAATTGTCATTATGAAAATAACCCCCTTTCAGCAGATAATTTCATCTTGTTCTGGAGCAATGCTTACCTCACTCACAAGTAAGTAAAAACTACGAGTATCATTCAAACAAAATATTTTCTTTTTTTTTGTTTATTTAATAATGCCGCTGGTCACGTAGGTTTCGAACGTTGTGACCTCCGTCTCTTTTCCTTTTTTTTTATTTCAAATATTGCACCTTAAAACACTGTTTTACGTGGTCTTTTAAAAACCTAACCATAAATAAATTTAAAAACTGTCTTTGATGTTGAAAACAAAATGAAATCGTCTTTATAAGAAGAAGACTTATTTTGTTGTTTTGCGTATGAGTTTTTATATGTATTTTTTGTTTTATTTTTTTACGTTATGAAAACGTACAATACAAATAAAATAAATAAATCATTTGTGGGCTTAAGAAATAATAATTTTTGTTTTTGTATCTTTTATTTTTTTATAGGAAGAAACAAACTTAAAATTAAACAATAGTGCTGTCAAAAACTAGTACCAATTGTTTTTTTTTGCTAATGAAAAAAGTTGAGTTAATTAATATATTGACATTATTATTATTAATTTTAAATTAATTAAATTAATTAAAATTATTAAAAAAAGAATTAAAAAAATTTAAAAAAAATATTTTTGGATTAAAGAACGCAATAAGTTTCTGTTTATAAAACTTTGTTTTTTTTTTTTTGTAATTTTATTGTAAAAAAAAAAGATTTAAAAAATTAATTTTAGATTTTTTAAAAAGTTACACGTGGTGAACATGAGAAATAAATTCATTTTGAAAACATGGTTCTTAAAAATAATCTTAGAACTTTTTCTCACGCTTAAAATTAAAAATAAAAGAAACGTTTTAAAAATCCCATTATGAAAATTACCATAAAAAAAAAAAAAGTATGAATATTAATATTTTTGGTTGAGTAAAAGAAAAATGACTATTTTGAAATGAAAATATTTGTATGCTAAAAATTAAAAAAGACTCATAAATTTGAAAAAAAAAAAAAAAAATAGCGATTATTAAACTAAAAAGAAAACTTATTTTAAAATGTTGATCGAATTTATGATCTGAATTGACGACATATGTTTTATTGTCCTGGATATTTTTTTTGTATTTAAAAAGGAAAAATTCAAACAAGTTTTACTTTTATTGCAGTTTAAAAATGCGTAGAAAAATGCAATGCTTTAAATGTGAAACAAATTGTTGTCTTTTATTTTTTAATTTAAAAAAAATAGTTGTATTATTTTTAAAAATCTAAGTTTGATTGTTTTTAAATTCATGATTCAAAAAAAAATCCTTTTGAAGTACTTACAAGATAAAATAAAATAAATGTGAAAAAATATCTCTTGCTTTTTTAATTTAAGACAAGAAGAGTGCTTGCTTGTCTTTTTTAATTTTAATTGATCTGAGTTAAAGTAACCTCTTGCTTGCTCCTTGGCTATTTTAAAATTTAGTGACATAAAAAATATCTAAAATCTTATTTTACACTTAATTCTTAATTTTTATGTTTTGTTTGAAAAAAAAATTAAAAAAAAAAACAACTTTTTAGTGGAAACTTTTGTCTTTTTCGCAATTTTTACTTTTTTTAAAAAAATAAACATCTAGTAATTTTTCATAAAGAATTTTCATTATTACAGAAAAAAATAATGTAACCAACTTAAAAAAGATATTTTCCTTGTTTAAAGACTTTCTTCTTCATCTACACAAAAAGAAAAATTTCCAAGCAGTTTTTTTTTTTTTTTTCTTCTTGTGAGTTATTTTACTGCATGTCAACATTACGTTTTCAGGTGATGTAATTTAAATTATTATTTAGAAATTAAAAAAATATTATTTTTATTATTTACAGTAATTTACTCCTCATAAAATTATTTTAGATAAAAAGGGTCAATCCTTGTCGGTAGCTTGAAATTTTCATTGCGTAATTTTTTTTTTTTTTTTTCGATTTCTACTAATTAATAATTTTCACCGCTAAATTAACTAAAAGTGCATTAACAAGAAAGAAGCAGAAGATTATGTTGAATAATAAATATTTCATGTGTACAATAAATGTTTAAATGTTTAATTGCAGAATTTTCTAACTTACGTAATATTTTTTTTGTCCTTTTCATTTTCTTTTCTCGGTGAGTATTTTTTATTTTAATAAAAATACAAAAAGAAACCGTTATTTCCCACTTTAAAAAAAGAAGTTAAATTTATTTCCACATGTTAACGGAAAAAATTACAAAATAAATGTTATTAGTTTAAAAAAAAAAAAAGATAAAGTTTTTCCTTACATAACATCTCTGTTGTCATTATCATGTAAACTTTGGCGGGATTTTTTTCTCTCTCAAACTTTCAGATGTGAAACTTTTTTAGTTTCATGTTTGTGACTGTGAATCGAAAAATTAAATAAAGAAAGCATATGTGTATGGAAAAAAAGGTTCCAAACAAAAGTTTGTCTTCAACTAGAGTTGACTTTATTTTTCAAAAAAGAACCTTGGGAACTCTTGATTTTTTTTTTTTTTTTTTTTTTTTTTAAACTTTGATTCAGTCAAATGTACAACACGAACAATGTTATTAAGTTAAAAAACACAACAACATATTGGCAGCACACAATTACAATTCAGTTTTCTTTACTATATTTTTTAATTCTTCATTAATTTCTTTCATGTCTAACAGTAACACTAGTCTTTTATTTTTTTTATGCCTTGTCTCTTCCTTCAGGAAGTAGGCGAGCATGGGAAAGATAAAAAGGAGTGGTTTCCTGTTGCTTTCTCTTCTGATTTAAATTCAGATTTTTTTTTCTTAGACTTGTTGCCACGGAAGGCGAGAGAATGTCGTTGCTCTTTAACCTCTAGCAGCGAGAGAAGAGATGTTTTATTTCTTAAAACTTCTATTACAACATGGATTCTGTGGTTTGAAGTGGAAGTAGGCAAAACCTCTTTCTTAAAAAATTAAATTGATTATCGGGTAACATGTTGCCTTATAATTAGGAAATACAAAATTATAAAAAAACAAAAACACACCTGCCTTTTCAAATTCAGAGTAAAAATGAATTTTACTTGGTCATCTTTCAAAGTTACCAGGTCTCCTTTATAATTACAAATATGTGAGTTATCTATTCTTCTAGGTTTTGAGTTCATCCTCTGTTGCTTTCAAGAATGGCTACCTTTAAAAAAATGCGATACCTAAGACTTAAAAAATGAAAAATCTTTCTTGAAGCTTTTTTTTATTTTAGTTTTAATTCCAAGTTAATAGATTAAATTTAATATTTTTAGTAAGCAAGATATTGTCTACCTCTTTTTGAGAAACTCCTAGAAGCCCTAATCAATTCTATATTGGTCTATCATCTCTCCTCACAGGGCCTTTCCTCAGACAAGTGATATAGCTTTTGTTTCTCCAGGTCAACTGCTAATATACTGACAATATTTGCGGAAAGAGTTTATCATGCTCTAGATAAAAACTTTGAAGACTAGGCTGTTGCATTGGACATCTCAAAAGCCTTTGACAGGGTCTGGAATTCAGGTCATCTTCACAAACTGAAAAGTTACAGCACTTCTGGGCACTTTTTTGAAATGATTCAATCTTTCCTATCAAATTGTGAAATGAGTTATCTTAAATGACCACTCATACTATTGCAAGTGACCCCCAGGCCTCCATCTTTGGTCTTACTCTATTTTTAATTTTCATTAATGACCTTCCCGATAATATCAGCTCTCAGCTTGGTATCTACACTGACAACAACAATTTATTCCTGCCTAAGGCTTAACAAGTCTAACAAGGTCAAAATAGCAGCTGATGTCTAAAACAACCTTAACTGGGGCAAAAGATGTCTTGTTAATTTTAATACCTCCAAAACTAAACTTCTCTCCATGAATCATCTTGCTGCCTTCCATCAGTCATCTTGCTGCCTTCCATCAGTCATCTTGCTGCCTTCCATCAGTCATCTTGCTGCCTTCCATCAGTCATCTTGCTGCCTTCCATCAGTCATCTTGCTGCCTTCCATCAGTATGGCTGATGATATCCTCCAGGAAAGTGACTTGTTGCACCTTCTTGAGCTCGTGTTCTCTGCTGATATGAAGTGGAAAAATTATATTGAATCCATTGCTAGGAAAGCCGGTTCACTATGTAAGATGAGACAATTTTTCTATCCAGAATCTATCTATCTATCTATCTACCTACCATTCGTCCATGCTTAGAATATTGCTGCCACATATGGTCTACTATTTACCTTGAGTTCCTTGATAAGATCCAAAGAAGTATCTGCCCTGTTGGCTGGGGCTTCAGAATACACTGATTGCACCTCTGTAGAGGGGTAAGACACCTACCTGATGAGGCCACCTGTTTGCTGTGGGTGGTGACCTGTCTGGGATCCCAGTGGTTGAAGACTTCAGGAGTCAGGCTTAGTTACTTTTGATTCTCAACACACCACTTTGGCCCTTACTTAAATGGGCAGTCAGAAAGGCCATATCTGATCAATTGGCTAGCCACGAGAAGCCCTAGCACCTACAGCTATATCAATTTGTGAAGTATTTTATAACTAAATACAATACCCCAGATATACACTGGGATAAGTGCATAAACTTGCAAGTTCAAAGTCTAGATCTCTTTAAACCGATTGACCATCAGCCATCTGTGACGAAAGACATGAATTACCTCAGAATTCGAATGTGTCTTGCCTGCAAAGTAATGACAAAAAGAAATATGGCCGCTATTGAAGACACAATTTATGTGTGCGTATCTCTTCCAAAACAAGACAATATTTGCACACATGTAAATTTTGGCCATCTCGGAATAGCATAAAAAGTGGGGTGCCAGCAGCACCAGGGGTCAAGGAATCATTGGGTGGACTACGTGTAATAGCTGGATGTACGGATTGACAGACGAACAAAGAGAAAATTGAAGTAGGCGCGACTGAGTTGATGCTTGTTTCACAACTGCCCAGTGTAACAGCTGAGAAGGGGAGTCATGCAATCCATTTCCTTGAGGCGACCAAAGAAGAAAAATATAGCTATCGGCGAGTGACACACTGCACCTTTTTACCCCCCACCCCTCATCATCTTTTATGTTTTTTCTTTTTCCTAC